GTAAAAGTTGCGTATCAACATCCACGATTATTTGAAAACCCATTCGGAAATAATAACTCGTACCTATTTATGTCTCAAATGGCTATGCACAAAAGAAAGAGAAACTTAAGATTGTATGACACGGCATATCCTGGTGCACATCGCATGTCACTGCTGCTGGAGTTGGGATGCTGAGCCGATTATCGGGGTGGTAGGTGCCCGTTACCATAGAGACGGTCTCTGAGATACAGTCGCCGCCATGAGACCTGCAACTTCACTTCAAGTGACTTATATTTCGATGAGAAAGAATAGTGGCGGTATTCCATCCGTTGTTTAATTAATTGAAATACGGTTGTAGTAATTTTAAGGACGGAGCTAACAGAGATTATTTTTTATGTAAGCTCTACCAAAGCAGTACAATAATTGGTGAAAAGGGCAACGATTTCACTGCTATTTTTTGTGAGAATAATGTGTTTTCACACGGAATCTTTGACAGCTAAGGTGTGTCCTATGTTATTCTGTTCGTACTTCTGTTATATTTGGAACTCAATATGGATAAAAATTAATAAAATTTAGTTAATAAAAATCACGTGGAATTAAGTCAAGAGGTCGAGAGGATCATAAAACTTTATTATTTTATCCTATCCACCAATCAGGGTATCATTACATAAATAAACACGAAGTTGATGTCCTCCCGAAATTAAGTAGAACCGTTCCATGAAGTTGCGTACAAATTTCAATAGTTAAATTTACGCTTTACTTGAAAAAATTAAACTAATTCAAATTAACTACAGTGTAAACCCTTTTTAACGAATCTTAAGGGACCGGGGATTTTTTTTCGTTATAAAGAGTTTTTGTTATATGGAGAGAAGAAGGAAAATAACCAAATTTCACCAATTACAGTAATAAAAATTTTTCTAAAGTTCTAATCTAATGAGTCCAGGCATCCATGCATGCTAAAAATCAACTCCAAAGACAAGATATTAACGATATTGTAAGAAATAATTACTCTGCGGAATAAAGCCTCGTTGTACAATATCGATAGCTTGTCTTTGAAGTTGTTTTTTAGCACACCTAGTCATTATTGTCAAATGCTTTAATCAACAGAACTTAAATTTTTGTGGTTTATTAATTGTTTTAAAATAAAGAATTATAGAAGCTTCAAATGGCAATTGTTGAAGTACTGAGACAATGCAAAATTGCATTAAAATTGTAGTTAAGATCAATGTTGATAGGCAGGTTATTCGACTAAAGTTTAATGTATCAATAAACGTTATTATAGCGTTCGTGCTCTCGCTGGGAAAGATTTAAAAATCCTTCACATAAAAATTAAACAGTGCTATAGTTTTTCCAATTAATTAAAGCATCAAATTGTCAATTTCTTCCGTTATTTCGCCCCTCGATAAACATATCAGTAATTTTATGTATCACTTCTCTTTCCGCTGTTCAAACATTAGACCTGTTAATACAAGGAAAGGCAATATAGCGGCGACAATACTCCAGGGGTCCCGCTCTTGTTCCCGGAGTTATATTATCGCTTGGGGTTTCCGGAACAGCCTCCGGCAATGAATAAGTTGGGTGCTAATAGATGTGCAAATATTGGCAAATTTGGGGGCGCAATCGAGCAGCTTCTGTCCTTACGGGCGTTTCGTTAATAAAATATGATTTTGTAAAAAAAGCAGTGGCTGCTAGAACATTAGAACTATTATTGACTATTGATTACACAGCCACACAGAAAAAAAAAGTTGGGTATACTTTTTATGCGACATATATTTTTCGTAGTAATTTGGCCTCCTGAACACGAATCTGGGATCAGAATTGGCCCATCACGTCACAATTTTTTCCTAACCTCAAAAAACTTGATGAAAATTTACTGGGAAAATTTGGAAAAAAATTTATTTCCACATCAAATAGTACATTTTTATGTAAAAGACTCTGCTGAATTCAAATCCACTGTCAGAATTGAGCTAGAACGTGTGGTTTTTTTTCTAACCTCAAAAAACCGAGCAGGAATCGCTATTTTCAAATTCTGAGCGGATTTTGACCAGATTTTGTATAAAGGGGTTTTTTGGGTCGCTGATTACGAATATGAATTCACATTGTAAAAATTCAAGATGGCTGATCCAATATGGCGGGTGTACTTTTTTGAAATCCACCGATTTCAGTAAAATTTGGCATCATAAGGATTGCTGGTTGATCTCACCTTCATTAATCACACATCTGGAGCCAGATTTTCATAAATCAAGGTAAAAGATTCCACTCCGTCTAAAAATGTGACTTCGCTTAAAAAAATGACTTAAGGACTCTACACATGTAATGATGTGTAGTGTGATGTGCTTGTTTCCATGGGACAAGACAAAAAAGTTTCTACTTTATTCTTTCATTTATTTAGTCGTGCATGGGCTTATGGTTTTCCAATCAGATTTTTTTAACTACTATGCAGTTTTCCTATGGCATTTAGATGCTTTTATTTCTTAATAATTTTAAAGTTCAAGGAAAAGGACACATTACTGCCACACAGCACATCACTGCATCTGCTTATGCCTTCAATCTAAAAATGTGACTTTGCCGAAAAAATGCCGCCTACTCGGCCTAAAATTATGACTCTGCCTACAAATTTTACCTTGATTTATGAAAATCTGGCTCCAGATGTGTGATTAATGAAGGTGAGATCAACCAGCAATCCTTATGATGCCAAATTTTACTGAAATCGGTGGATTTCAAAAAAGTACACCCGCCATATTGGATCAGCCATCTTGAATTTTTACAATGTGAATTCATATTCGTAATCAGCGACCCAAAAAAACCCTTTATACAAAATCTGGTCAAAATCCTCTCAGAATTTGAAAATAGCGATTCCTGCTCGGTTTTTTGAGGTTAGAAAAAAACCACACGTTCTAGCTCAATTCTGACAGCGGATTTGAATTTAGCAGAGTCTTTTACATAATTATGCACTATTTGATGTGGAAATAAATTTTTTCCAAATTTTCCCAGTAAATTTTCATCAATTTTTACTATTTTTCACAAGTTTTTTAAGGTTAGGAAAAAATTTTGACGTGATGGGCCAATTCTGACCCCAGATTCGTGTTCAGGAGGCCAAATTACTACGAAAAATATATGTCGCATAAAAAGTATACCCAACTTTTTTTTTTCTGCGTGGCTGTGTTATGACTATACCTCGCTATTTTCCAGTGTAACGGATAACAACTAAGAAATTCAGTCCGATAAATATTTTTATGAGTAGGTTATCTACGTCCAATAACTTTTTGTTACCAAATAAGTGTTTTTCCATCATCAATTGGAGGTCGAGGTGGAAATAATGGTTATTGTCTAATAATTAACATTTTTTGTGAATGTTTCTGAAACACGTTAATACTTTCCAAAATTGAATATTTTGGGTATAACTTTCAAATGCTGTTTGAGGAATTTAATAAATTTAAGTAAAAAGAATACAACCACACAAAAAACAGTTGTCTGCACTTTTTATGCGACATATTGTCAGAATTGAGCTATCACATCACAGGAACTTCCTAACCTCAAAAAACAGGTCACACACCTACCAAATGATTATTATCATTTTGGAGCTTCCTCAAAAATTAAAATCTAATCTACTTTTCTCTATACATATTGTCTTATTGCATGGGGAAGAGATACATGAAACTTTGTTTGAGTTAAAAAATAAAACGTTTGTATGATATATGTATATGTGGTGTTTAATGATGTATGTATAAATATGTATAAAACGCATTCTGTTAGAAGGAATAAGATATAGACCTGGCAATTTGGGATACCGGGAGCTATCCCTTGCCGTGTGATCGGAGCTAACTCAGATGCAAACTTATTTGTATGGGTCTATACCGACATGGAATTTAAAGTCAAATACTTATATCAGTATGCCATAAAGATTTCCGTTTGTGATTTTCTATTTGCTCTTCTTGTTTTCCTGCAATAATGGCCAACCGTCAGTTCTATATATCACCCTGTATGGTATACACATACATTATACCAGTACAAATCACTGTTAGACAATAATATTTGAGGTAGAAGTGTATTTATACCTATTCATTAATACAGATTAAATGTCATATAAATTTAGGAATAAGTCTACATAACACATTATTAAATCATTAAATAGAATAAGAAATAACGTCTTATGGACTCCATGACATCAGACTATACTTTTCTATAACTAGTAGTTCTACAAGCAATACAAAAGTTTCAGTTTCGGAATGAGCGCATAAATTATATGCTAGTAACTCGTACATAGATGAAGTAACTTTCTAATAATGTACCAACATCAATTATAACTTTAAATAATTTGAATTTTCTCACATTGAAATCACATCAACAACTTATATCTCTATTTTAGTCTACAGATATCGCCACTTTAACTTGGAAACTGTGAAGCTCAAACGTAACACAATCAATAAGCTAGTGCGAAGCTTGGGAAAAGTTGCACTCTGTGTTTAATATCAGAGCAATTCAATTAGTCATTGTTTAGTTAGGGTTGACGATTTTTTTTACGTTGACGCTCTCCCTTGTTTGTTTATTTCTCGCCTAATGTGTTGCAACGCTGTGTGTTGCAATAGGCGCTTCTGTTTGATTCCTTTTTAATATTATCGACCATAAGGAAAGTAATTTTATGAATATATTTCTGGGCGTGTACAACGTACCTTCTTTATAAAGTCCAAAGCCTGGACTGGGACCAAACTATGCTTTAAATCCGGATTAAGTTAGACGGCAAGTCATACAAACGACAAAATCATTCTGAACAATGAGCATAGAGAAGGACACAACAATATCTCCGCATCTGTGCAACATAACAATGTTATTTATTTATCCTTATTAGTGCTGGATAAAAAATGCGTCGGTAAATGAGAAAATAGTAACGCAATAAAAACTATAAACTAGCCTTGCGTATATAGAAAGGTTTAGCCTGAAATCTTTAATTGTTCTAGTAGGACTGTCATTGTTTTTTTAAATTTAATCCGAAAACTAACTGGCTATAACATAATTCTTAGTTTATTCCTATTTTGCAGGTGTGAATCCAAGAAAACAGAGGCGGGAGAGAACAACTTTCACAAGAGCCCAGTTAGACATACTGGAAACGCTCTTTGAAAAAACTAGGTACCCCGATATCTTCATGAGGGAAGAAGTCGCCTTGAAAATAAATTTACCGGAATCTAGAGTCCAGGTATGTTAATTTTTTCAGTACTTCAATTCAATTCTCTTAAAAAGTCATGAATCTTGGCACATATGTTCGCAAAAGGAGGCTTAACGTGTGCGACTCCATAATACCATATTGGGCCTATCGGTGATGGACAGTTGTCGCACCAATTTTTCCATATCAATTTCCATTACATTAACCCCCCTCGCAGCCGATAATAGATGTTTTATAGGTATCTGCATTGCCTGCCGAGGTTTTATAAAAGCAAGGGCGGGGTGTTTTACTGGAACAACCCCTGTTAATCCGGGGAACTAATGGAAAACAGCCCCCTCGCTGCATGTTCTGCCTATTGTGTTGTTCTATTGAATAAAATATATACAGTTATCCCCGTGCGGTGTCTCTACAGATTGCATGGGGAACCTCCCTGTGCTATTCGCCAGATTTGTTGCGTCGCTGCGAAAATGATTTTTTTAGATGCGGAAGGGATTACGGTGATAAATTATTTGGGAAATATACATAGATTCAGAAAATATACAAAAGATGGCACATAGTGCTGTAGCCAGAGGGGTCCAATTGCCTCCTTCATTTAGATGGAGCTACCCAAGTATTTTTTGTGTATTTTGAGCTGCAGAACACGAATTTTTTGGGTAGAAGTTTGCCCGGATGACAATAAGTTTTTTATTAACAAAAAACTTGCAATATACTGAAAACATAATTTTTGGCAAAATATTTTCTTGTTCTTTGACCCATTTAAAGAAGAAAATGTCTCTTGCAATTTTTTTGTTAAACGCATAGTTTTTGAGATAAACGCCGTTAAATATTCCAAACATGCGATTAACAATTTAATGAAAATTTGCAATATTACAATAATTAAAATTATTACAAGTTTAAAAAATAATTATTATAAAAAGACCTAAATTATACGATGTTACGCTTTTAATATAAGTAAGTATAAACTTTTTTATTATCGTTTATAAATAAAACTAATATAATTTTGCTAATTTTTTTCATATAAATCGTATAATAATGTTTACAAAGCAAATTAGAATTAACCAAACATTATATCTTTGATATTTCAAATTTTCTGCGCCTTTTTAATGTCATTTATTTTTAAAATTCGTTTGTAGTCGCGCTGCAAAATTGCACTGAAGATGTAGAATTATTAACGTTCATGTTACAAGATGAATAGCTTAATTAAATCAGATCTTTGCATTATTTGTCAAAAAAATAAAAGCCGAGAATTACTAGTACAGATAGCGGTAGAAATAAAATTATTCAGTCAGCAAATGTTCGTAAACACATCATGTATAATAGATTGCAAATTTTAACAAATAAAAGTAAGTATTTTGTGTTTGTAATTTAGAGAATAAAAACATATTGTTTTTTAATAAAACATTGTATGTATTATTATAATTACTGTATCAAAATATTCTTGAAATACAGTTATTTCACTTTTAGTGATTGCAAATAATTTTTATTTTTAGAAATATACATACATACAGAAACGTATAAAATTAGATCCACAAGGTAATACCGATAAATGCCTTATTATATTTATAAATATATAATGTACATATTAGAAACTCCTCGGGAAACAATAAGTAAATATTTTTATTAATACAATTAATCCGAATTGACTGATTCCGTAAATATATACATACATACTTTTCTTCTCTCTATATAATTATGTATTTATTTTTTTCCTGTTTTTGTTTTATTATATACATGTTTGATGTTTTTCTGTGATAGGCATTTTGTGTTGTAATGTATGTTCATATTTTACTTTATGTTCTTGAAACAAGTGTAAACTTATCAAGTATTGTTTATTCGTATAGCTTTTAATATTGATTTACTTTTTATCTGTATTTTCTACGAATAAATTATTATTATTATTATTACAAAAAATAATACCTGTAAGAATAAAAATATTTGAAACCTTTACAGAAAATATAAAACTATTACTTATTTACTGTTTAAATTTGTATAATAATTTTAATTATTGTAATATTGCAAATTTTCATTAAATTGTTAATGTTTTGTTCAGTTTTCATCGTTTCTTTGGTCTAGAAATGAAGAGTACGCGTCAAGATCGTGTATTAAACGCCTGTAAGAAGGCAACCGCCTGTAAGAAAGCAACCGCTCTCTTACATACATGGCCGTGCACCTTTCTGAACGCTCAATCGCTATTTGTTTATAGCTTCAAATAACAATGGAAAAAACAAATTTTCACACTACACTCATAATTTGTACTATTTAACGTGAACTTTCAAACGCCGTCAGCAGAATTACAGAATACCTATTCAATCAAAAGTTATTAACAATTGAAAATCGCAAAAATCGTATTTTTGGAGTTTTTAACGGCGCCGGCGTTTATCTCAAAAACTATGCGTTTAACAAAAAAAATTGCAAGAGACATTTTCTTCTTAAAGTGGGTCTTAGTTTTCAGTATTTTGCAAGTTTTGTGTTAATAAAAAACTTATCGACATCCGGGCAAACTTCTACTCAAAAAATTCGTGTTCTTCAGTTCAAAATACACAAAAAACACTTGGGTAACTCCATCTAAATGAAGGAGGCAATTGGGACCCCCCTGGCTACAGGACTAACAGCAGTGGATATTTTTCAACGTTACCATTATGCCCACTGACACTAAATTTCACGAACAAAAACTTTTAATTTTCCTTAAAAATTGTGGCAAAAAGCGGGAAATATACATTTAAATTCGAAGGAAAATGATCTCTTAACTATAAACATTTTTTTGATGTATTAGACATCTTAGAAGATGCACTAGAATAAGTTTTTTCGCGTATGTACGTACCGTCATTAGAACAATGGCTTTTTTTTTCTTAAATTGAATTTAAAATGAGCAAATTATAAAATACAAATGGTAAAAATAAAAGAAATGTGCTGCCGTTTATTTTACAAGTAACAAAACTACTACAAATCAATATTTTCTAACGGAAGAGGTAGCTTTTATTAGAATACAACTCCTTTTTTGAACTGGAATGATGGATAAATGAAAAGCTTATACCAAAATTACTACTTAATTCATGGAAATAAATAATTCCAGCTGCAGTGACATTGGCAATACGGGAATAAGGCTCAAGCAAATGTCAAATACGTGCCGACCTACAAACATGTGACATCTGATTCAATAGCAGTTAAGGACTGCTATTTACTTTTGGCACTGGTTATAGCCTTGGTCAATTAATCGCGTGATTATTTAACCGAACTATAACTTATACCAAAAGTACCTAGTAGTGTTAGCGTTTTTTTTTTAAGGCAATGGAAAATGCTATATTCTTATAAAAACAATCATCTGCGCTTTAAGGTGGTTAAATACAATTTTACGTAACTTGTGTTCACATGAAATTTGTAGTGCGACATCCAAAAACATGAGTCCGAAGTTATTGTCAATGTTTAAAAATTAACCGATTTAAAGAATTATTTTTATGAGACTATTTTAATTTTTATCATTTACATCCGCCTGTTTCTCACATTAGGTTAAGTATTTTCCTAATCGCTCTGTATATTTTAGTTTTCTTCAGCTTTATAGCTTACTGTATGTGCAACTTGCAGTTTTTTGTTTTGCTCCCAGTCAAATACGACAAACGGTATGATTTTTTTTGTGTATAGATGTATTTTCAGTAGAATTTAAAAATTATTACTTCAAGAAGCAAAACAAACATTTTGTTATAAGAACAAATCACAAAAAACTTGAAAAGCGAGAACGATATAAGTCAATAATACTTATTAATAGTGGATTGGACCTCCTGCGTATTAGATTGATTTTTGCTACGAAAGTTCCCACTGTTCTGCCAAGACATCTCTAGGTTATTAATCCTTTTTGCAGGGCATGCCAAACGTGCTCCATAGCATTCAAGTCAGGGAATAAAGCTGGCCAGATCTTGCTATTGATTACATTAGTTTCAAAAAATTCATTGACAAACTAAATCTAGACCATAGTTTCATATTGTAAGTAAAGTGTTGATTCTAAAATATTTCCTAAGTGGATTCTACTCGTCAGCGTTTTTTCAAAATTGCCATGTTTTTATTACTGTGTTTTATAATTCAGACCGAATCTTGGAAGATTTTTCCGATGGTCCACGTCTAGCAGAACAGTCAGTGAAACTGTTTTTGATCGCTTATATATATGTTGAATCGAGGTTCTACTCAGATCATGGTGGCATTTCACGCTCTTCTATTACAGTACTATCTTCAGTTGCTGTATAGTCAGTTTTGTCCTTTCTCCACCATGACGATAATCACAAGAATTTTTGCTGAAAAACCCCGGCTTCTATCATGCATATTGCCATATTGAACAACATTAAAACGCGTCAAATTTATTTAAGATCCACTTATGTATGGATTTACCTTTGTTTTCAATCTCCTTCTTCAGGTAATCATATTTTAATTTAAATAATTGATCCCATAAATGGAAAAAAATAACACATGTCACACTTGAACCAAAAAAACAAAACACTTTCAAGTTGCACATATGTGTAGGGTGATTAGGAAAGCCACTGACCTGAAGTGATGTACAGCAAAATCGTATGGTTTTTTTCCCACCATGTATAACAAATATATCTCATAATGACATAGGCAGTTCCAGTTCAATAATTTCCCTTGCGTCTAACACAAGATGTTCTAAAATCAGTTAACTTTTAATCATTTTACGGTAATTGAGAATGAACCCTTTTTTGGATTCCCTCTTCAAACGTAGAATAGATTTTGTATCATCCATTTTCAAAAACATAACAACAGTACAAATTTTATTATGCCACATATACTCAACGGATTTTCCCGTTTCATAACGAAATTCGTTTTTGCGGTGCTCCCAGTACTGCATTTCAGACATGACAGGCTGACAAAAGTCTTGTTTGTTATTATTAGACATATTCCGAAAACGCAAACGCATATGTTACATGATTTGCAGCATCATGTAGATTTCTGGGGTATTATTTGCGGTATTGCGACGACAATGGTACAATACTAGGGGCGGTTTATTTGCTTTCCCGTCGGTAATGATTCAATTTGGAACCCAGTTAGTCTTTTCATACGGCACAGCTGCTGTTTGTCTACAGCTAGACGGTCGGCAGCAGTAGTTATCGTAACATTTTATCATCGCGTAGGCTAAAAGGGGTTTTGCACAATCGGCGGCATCCCCGATTGATTTTATTTGTTTGCGAAAATAATCCTTAAAACTTTGCACGGGACAGTCAAGTTAAAATATTTTCGTAGTTCAGCAACCCGTTGTTTCTATAGTGCAATATTGAACTAGACAGAAAATGTTACTTTTAAACAAAAGGTTTTCTATGAACATCCATGTAGAGTCCTAATAAAAACGCATTTTTTATGTGCTGAGCAGCCTCTTTAATCCGATCTAATTAAAACCAGAGTTATGGGGATTATCAAAATAATTTTAAATATAAATGACATAGTTAATAAAAAAAGATCGAAAACTAAATCAGTCAATATAAAATGAAATCAAAATATGTATATGTCGCGGGCTAAGTACAGATTCAGCCTTTTTATAAAAATGCCTAGGCGTTTTATAAATTACTAGGCAAATTATAAAAATGGTGTGTAAACACATTTTTTTTTGCAATTTGACGGAAAAGTTTAGACGTTTTACAAAACGCTGATATGTTATTGTAAAATAAACGCAAAAGCCATTAATTTCACATTGCGCCTATAATAAAGTGAACATATTATTCAGGCGTATTATAATGGGACTGCTCTCGAGTTACACTAAATTAGCAGTGTTTTTTACTTATCACTTCAAAAACTTGGGTTTCGAGATGCTAGAAGATTCAGAACGGAGCTTGTTCAAATAAGTAACATGACACATATTTTAAACTTTGTGCATTTATAACACTTTTATTGTTAAAAAAATCAAATGAAAGAATTAGCATTTATTTTTTCATACCATATATATAATAAAAAAAGTACTTTTTTTTGTACGCAATATTATACGAACTAGCAATAATATAAATTGGTACTTCATGAAATGTTTAATTGATTTTTAGTCGTTTACAGAACGACTGAAGAGAGTCAACGATATTCTAAAGAAAATGAAAATTGAGATGCATTTACAATAAGACTTATAGCTATTCGAGTATTCAACGTTTTATAAAACGCTTAAAATGTTCAGTCAAATTGTAAAAAATGTATTCACAATTTATAAAACGCATAGGCATTTTCTAAAAAGTCTGAATTTGTAATTGCGACATATATATTTTGTAAGTTTATAACCAGGTTTACAATATTATAACATTTTAAAATTGAAAGAGAAGCTAGAAGAACAATTATATATGTATGCATTATTTAGGAAAATTATATTATTTTACCTTAGTCTGTCTGTAGTATCCGCTACTAAATCTTTGCTAGTACTTATTGTGGATACTCTAGATATAAGTACCCACAATTTTTCTTGTTTTCAGGGATTCAATTTATAATAATTTACGATATACATTTTCGCTATTTTAAAATAAGAAAAGTCATATATAGATTTAAATGTTAAAGTGTCAACGTATTTTTTATCACAATTTGAGAGAACAGAAAATGAAAACTACAGGTGGGCAAAGAAGCTTCATATTTTTAAACACTGGGCGTATAATTTTCTTCAAATCAATATTAAACATATAAATCCAAGTTAACGTACCCAAAACCGAAATCGTAGAATTCATTTTTAGTATGCCTAGAAAGCAAATAAATGATATCAGTATCCCAAAACATATTTTATAACACGCTAACTTTAAAGAGAATAGCGTCCTGGATTTTTTTTTGATTTAATACTGATTATGATTATTGTTACGTGTTACGTGTTCATTTTCTTACATGCACAATTTATACATGCACTGTTATTTATGTAATATTTTTTTGGTACTAACTTTATAATATTGAATATTTTATGCTATATTGGAATGTTTTTATTTCTACTAAATATTGTGTTTTATCAATAGGCTTAGTGCGGCGCAGAGTTTAACAGGACCGGAGTCAGATTACGAATGAAAATATAATATGTTTACAGAAAATATGTTGCAACATTACATTACCAAAGAGCAAGGCTAAGTAGAGGATAAAATATATAAATTTATATGACACTCGATAAACCTTAGTGTTGAGACAAGGCTTCTGTGGCATATTGAAAGTAGTTAAAACATATTACTACGTGTTTTCTTTAGTGAAACGGCGACGATTATCATTTAATATTAACTTGTGTAGGGAAAATGGCCGCTTAACGTCTACTGTTGACAACGGACAGTATCAGAAATTGTTGAGACATGAACTATATATTAATATATTTGCTGATAACTCCTGATATGTATCAGACAAAACTTTACATATGTTTTCTAAAATGGTGTATCCTGATTTTTTTCCAACGCACTTTGCATTTTTTCTTTTATCGTACTACTGACTGGGGGTATATTATTGGCATCGTATATGTATATTTTTTTGTACATTATCCATTATATCAAATTGTTCATTTAGGGATAGTCCATGTGATTCCAATTTACGGATTTACTGATCTTGGGGTTCTCTAGTTTGTTTAATGGAATATTGCTTGAAGGAAAGGCGCCTATAAGTTCATAGAAAGATACAGAGTCTTCAGCGCTGGACGAGGCATGACTCTTCAAATGTCTTGTCACTATAGTAACCAACTACTACAAGGTTCCGTAAATAACTGAACAGTCAAAACGCGGGTCAGCTGTGAAGGTCACCGACCCTTGCGCCGGCCCTGTTAGACTCTGCACGTGCACTAAGCCTATTTATCAATCAAACTTAATTCTATTCTATATTTCAATTCTATTTTACTACTTTTATTACGTAATATATTCGGCAAAATACATATATCTGCGTATACTACACAGAATCCATACCACACACAAACACTTGATGAAGTGTCAGACGGAAATGCAAAATAACCCATAGAACAATTCGTTCCTCACTACACCACTGCACACCCTATGAATTTGGTTTATCTATAACTAAAAATATTCTTTGTTGCAGGTATGGTTCAAAAATCGTCGCGCAAAATGCAGGCAACAATCCCTACAAAACAAAACGAACAACAGGACAGCCTTGGCGACGAAAGCAAAACCTAGCAAACAGTCACCTGTCCCGCCCGTGCAAACATCTGCAGCTTCGTCAGCCAATATTCCGACGGCGTCCAACATCATGACGCCAGCCACCAACCTCCCAACTCCATCGACATCGGTGTCGCCGCCTGTGAAGAAGGAATCTCCCCAGATCCAGAACTTCAAGAGCAACGGTAACCTGACGCCTCTTGGAAGTAACAATTCTAGTGTCATGACAACCCCCTCGCCCCCCATGACCCCTGGCAGCATTCCGTCCGTAAGTTACCAGCCAGAAAACTACAATTCTTTCAATTGGCACTCAAACGGACACAACACCTCCCCCCACCACTACTACGGACAGAACTACAACGCCGCTTATTACAGTCAGATGGACTATTTCGCCCAACAGAATTCTCAAAATCAAGTGTCATGCAATCACATGGGGGGAACTTACCATCAGATGAGTGCCTATCCTGGTATGTCAATGTCTGCTTCTACGCATTCACAAAATTTCAATCCCCGATATCCAGCGGACTGTAGTTTGGACTATTCAAATCAAATGGTTTAACTAAAAAAAGTCAAGCTTTCCTTTGAATCGTAATCGGTCTGCGTATTCTTTCCCACGAAATGAGAGTATCAGCGCATAAAATAAATAAGTTTTACAATAATTGACAAGTACCTTAGCAAGATATTCTCTTTTTTCTCAAAATATTTCGAATGTAGTAGGTATTTTGCAGAACTGTAAAACTTAGTTATGATAATATAATCGTTGGCGTTGATACTACTTATCCGAAATTCTGCATATCATGACAAGGACAATGTGCAAATATATTTTTGGCCTAAATTTTGGTAAACGTACAATAAAAATGAAAAAACGAATATTGTTTAATAGTAATAAATTACCTTGGTGTGAACTTTTAATTTATAAATTTTCTGTACATATTCAGTATGTTACTATTATGTATGCGCTACCAATTGAAAAAAGACAACTAAAATAACACTTATAGATACGTTTAGGATCATCGGGGATATCTTGTTTGTATATATGTATATTAAAATATATACGTATATGTAAATATGTAAAATAGGGCAAGAGTAGAAATATAACTATAAAATATTATTTGTTTATAGTTTCAATGTATGTACAAACATGTTTAGTGTGCATGTTTCTTCTATTGTATAAATTATTATATTTCGTATGTTAGCTTAGTTATGTATTATAACTAATTTTACAATTTTTTCATAGTCACATTTGACACGAATAATCTGAAAATTTTGACCAATAGTCAGGTACCTCAATCTTGGACCGTATCAAATGTGATTTTTTTATATTATATAAAGGGGTATGATTTGCATATTTGACACTCAGGAATTGTTTGTAAATTTGAAAAGAGCTTTCTGTGATTTTAAATTTCGCAATTTCTGTACGATTTCATTGTAAAATTATTTTCTAAATTCAACGATTCCTTCTTTAATTTGACGTTGTAATATCATAAATATCCAAACTCAGCAGACGTAGTTTCACTGTGTTGTATAAATTTTAATTAATGCGTTTTAATTGATAAATTGTGGTGATATTCAAACAAACCGTTTGCAGTTCAATTATTTGTTTTTTTGTACTTCGAATGTAAACATAATAATTTTCAAATAACAAATAAATATGTATTACAACGCACAATTGTTTTTTAGTCAAACCCTATCAAACGTGGAATTAATTTTAATTTGTAAATCATCAGATGAAATTATGTATTTATAAATATTGCCGAAATCATATATATCAGCCAGAGCAAAATGGACAATGCGGTGCGACTGGGGATAAATCAACCGGTATTTTATCCTTTAACAATTGGAAAATAAATTAAATAAATATTAATACACTGCTATTGTTCAGAACAAATAAATTACCATTTAATATTTTTTACAATTTTTTGAAACTTTTTTATCATGTTAAAATATTGTATGAAAATTCATTTCATTAAAATTTCTCAAAATTTTAAATGTCCTATTAGTCTGTTAATTTATAATAGATACTATGAAAATAAAAATGAAAATTAGATAACTCTTATTAACGTCAATAGAGATTAATTGTCAAACAAACGTCGTAATACCCATATGTCACAATATTTTTGCTTAATAACAGATTAGCAGCGCATTAAACATTGAAGGCACCACGGGTGCTATAGGATAATGAAACCCTCGGTTGAGATACATTTTCTCGGACAAGAGGTACTCAGGAAGTACAGTGTCGATGTCGGTGAATTTTATTATCCATATAACGCCTTAGATGTCTCCATTACTATAAAATTAATGCATATTCATCCAGAATTCAACACGCTCATTCACGATTCCCTTCCAACATCCAATGCTGTTTAAAAAATCACAAGAAGTAAAGTAAGTAAATCTTCAAAGGAAAAACGAAAAAGATCTAAAGTTTGCTACGAAGCATGATCAAGACGCCTGTTGTATGATACATTTCACTTTAATTTTCTCAAATTTTGCTATAGAATTTTAAAAAGAAATATATGTTAAACGTGTTTTTGCATAGCATTGTTTGTAAAGACTCAATAATTGTTTTTACATTTTAGGTATGTAGGAGATTTTAGATCATCTATAATATTCTTAGTCTTAGATTTAAAACTGAATTCTTTAAAAATCCAAAGTATTTCTTGGGTAAAGAGCAGTTTCAAAGCAGTGAGTGTCCATTTAATATTGACTCTAAAAAGTGATATTTATTCAGATATCTACTACTACTGTTATCTGTTAAAATGCATACTACCTACATTATTCGGCAAACATGAAAAAATTACTGAACTACTGACACAGGCACATGAGTTTATAATTGCACCAATAAATAAAATAAGCAATAATAAAAAAATAATATGCAGGTACTTAATAAATATGGTTATTTGATCACCATCTCAATCAGTACTTCTAAAAGTCATTGTAGTTTCCATAATTTCTTGACTTCACATGTCACTATATTTATTTAAATATGGTTCATGCAATTCCTAACAATGTTCAATAAATTGATCACATACTACGGTCATTTTTTTTCAAATTTGTGGTGCTTGTGGACAATGTCTACAGTACCCCATGGTTGGTCGCAGTAGAAGAGGATGACGTATCGCCTCCATAGATTATAACTAATCTAACTAATTCTACTATTTAATTTCATCAAGTTTAAGAAACATAGTTAAAAAAAGACCCTGGACTTACAATTAGCAAGACAGTACCCAAAGATCAATATTTTAAGTCAGTCAATCTTGATTGCCCAATCATAAAATTCCGCGCACAACTTGGTGGAAAGCAATGCTCATAAACGGTCACAAAATCGTCGATTTGTAAGTCTCGTCTATAGTTCTAACTATACGGCTGATTACTAGGTCGGTTACAAAATAATTCGCGTGCACCTAGCTTAAAGTTGACTCCAGATGATGCGGTTACTGCCAAATATTTGTCATTCGTAAATAAATGTCGTATCGTGTGGGTGCTACGTATCGATGCCTTCGAAAAAATATCTTCACTTGGTAAATACATATTCCCCAAAATATACACGGCATCTACTACAAGAATCGCCTTGGTAGAGTATATACTGAAATTCGCAATTTTTGTAAGTTTATAAAAAGCTGATGTACGGATAATAGATACACATATGGCAGGTATACTTAGATCGTTTAGGACCATTTGTGGAGATACCTGTATTTGACATATGCTCATATTTCACGTCAGCATATAGTGTGCATAATATACTTAGATTTAGATTTTGGTCAAATAATCGGCTTGTATTCGACACGTTTATGTTTGACGAATGTTTGGCGAGTGACCGCGTCATCTGGTTCCGGCTTAATATGTTGGAAATGCACAAGTATATTCAAAGTTTAACCACCTAAAAAGTTAAACAAGTATTACAAGGTATTCATAATACTAGCCCTAAGAATAATTTTAAATTATGGATTTGTAGGTATAAATAGCATTATTATTATTATTATTATTATTTACAAATAGGAGGATCATGAGATTTTCAAAATCAGACAAATGATGGAGTTATAAGAAGACATTTTTTGGCTACATTAAAATTTAAACTTGAAATTATCTTGTATGTGATAATAAAATGAAAATTATAACATGTAGTTTTGTTACAAAATTATTTAAACATTGATAAAAATAAGACCACATTCTTCTATCATATCTTCAGTACTAGAAATTTGCACATTTCCTCATATTTAATAAGTTGTCCTAAAATTACTACCGAAAAACAGCTTAAATTCTCAAAAATACAAGCCGCAGTTTAGTACAAAAGTTTCGACAGAGAAACTGGTTGTCTCTGCTTCTTAATAGGAGAAACATATTTTTCCCAAGCGTCTTTCTAATCATTTTTGTTTAGTATCAACATTGTTTTGTTTTTTTAACCTTACACAAGCAAAATTATATGTCGTCAATCTCCTATAGACGCTGTAAGCAGCAAGCAGTATGTTTGGTATGAAAATGTATGTCTCCAATATACGAGGGTTGCATGATAAATACCTGACCTTATCAAGAAAAAATATTTTCATATGCAAAATTTATTTTATTTTTCAACGTAATCTCGTTTAAGTTCGATACATTTAGTCCAACATTTACTATCGTTTGTACCCCCTATTTTTTAATGTATGAATATATTAAATAGTCGCTGGGTGCTAAATCTGGTGAATATGGTGGATGCGAAAGCAAACGGGCACGAAAAACATTTCGATTGCGTTTGTCAGCAATCGTTTCACCCATCTTGCGGAAAGCTTTTTCATATCCAAATAAGTTAAAATATTCTGAATCCGTTCAATTGAGATGACCTCATTCTCAACAACGCACTTTCACTCTCGGATCGTTTATCACGATATCTTGGATTTTTTCAATTGTTTCTGAATCATTTAAACGATCTGGATGTTCTTCACCAAAAATGCTTGCACGACCATGTTTGTCCAATATTTGATAACGGAAGTGCCCCATAAACTTCGCTGAGCGTTTTAATCTCATCATTTGTCTTCGTTTTCAAAGACAAGTATTGTATCACTGCTCAATATTAAATTTTTTCCATTGTTGTGAAACTACAAAGGTTGTTCTATTTAAATGGCTGACATTCACAAACTAAATCACGCAGCGACTTGACTTGAGTATTGTTGTGAAAATTTATATTTATAAAAAAAATATCAATTTTTAAATACTAGCAGCGCCATCTTTTGCTTGGGCCTGGTACTATCATACAGCCCTTCTATGTTAGACATGGTATTCGAATGTTGTACTTCCGCATCGATACATTTTTGACAAAATGACATTCCATTATCTAATTCTTATTAACAAAGAAATAAATATCATTCACCAGCTTTAATGACTAAAAACTTAGTATTATCCTATGCAGTACAAGTATTTTTTTAACATGGTTTAAATTCTAGTAAGCCTTTGTATGTCAGTTTACGCTGAGAAACGAAAAAAAAAACAATCTTTCAGGTATACCAAAATAATTTAGGTTACTAAAGTAATCTAAAGACTATTAATTGAAAATTCTGTACTACCGCCTTTGCGTCATAAAATATC